AAATTGTAGTAAATATAGACAATTCTTGAATAACTTGGTTGGATTGAATTATCATTTAAAATAAAGAGTATAAGACATTGAAAGAAGCACATTTAATTTTTTTCTCTAACATGTTCTGGATATTTTATTTATATAAGGTAATAAAATTAATTAACTTATCAGCTGTGAAATATTTTGCCATTCATACATTATTTATTCACCAACATTGAGATAGGAATTTGTTTATATAAAACTTCAACTTTCAGCTATTTTTTCAATATAGTATTGTTCAAATGGAGCAATTTTAAAAATCCATAATCTTGGATTATCAAAGAACAAGGAAATAATCTTCGACAGCTGGTTTTAATTCAATATATCATTTTTTCTTTAATATACTATACAACTCCACCTCTGACACGTAACCCATGAGTATAATATGTGTCAATAAATGACAAATTAAAGTTTCTTGGCTGCAGTGATAATAAAAAGGTAAATGTTTTCTGTCCAGTTGTGTCTGACTCTTGAACATGATAGGGCATTTTAAAAGCATAAATGGGGTGGCTTCAGTAGTATTTGTACTGCATAGATAGGGTATCACATATATGAGGACTTTGCTAAATCTCACATTAAGAACTAGGGAGGGTAAGCCTTCAATCCTGGTTCTAAAAAAAGTTAATGCTGTGCAGAAAGGCTAAACTAATTAAGTATCTGCCCATTTTCCATCTAAAACAAGTTGTCTCTGGACAAGATAAGTAGCAGTGAAGTTAAATAAAATGTGTTTGCAAGCTGTAAAGTTGGAATATGACAGACTTCAATCTGGTATTCTAACTTTAGGAAATTTTCTCAAATGTTTCTTTTAGCTTGAGTGTATTTGAAAAGAATGAGTTACTTAGGTAGGAAACCATAAAAGGTGAATTTCCCCATAATTACTTGTTACTGAGATTTAAAATTTAAATTGATTTGTTAGGACTTATGGAGGTAAGTGGTATTTGAGCCAATAGGTTTTAACAGTCATGATTATAGCTTCACTTTTTCAGAATGTACATCAAATTAGGAAGCTTCTGAAATACTGCAACTGGAATTGGATAGTTTGCCATTCAGCAGACTCACTATGAAAGCACTGCATATATATATATATATATATATATATATATATATATATATATA